TTTAATACATTTTATTTGAAAGCATTCTGTGATGAAGATTACAAGTTAAACATTTTATTTTATCAAATTATCTTATTTTATGTTCTATAGTTATGCTAGGCCGTTGTAACCTAAATGTTTGTGTAATAAATTGTATCTTGAATCAAATCAAATATTTCTTTCTAAAGCTACAATTTGTAATGTCTTCTTTTACTTTTTTCATTTAACACAAAAATAGCTTTAAATAATCTTTTGTGGGTATTTTCAGTCAAATTTATTTTGCGATTAATTAGATTAATCGAAACATCATGTCATTGTATATATATATATATATATATATATATATATATACATACACAAACATTTTGTATGTTTATTTATATATTACTATATATTAGTTTTACAATTTATAGTTTTTTACAATGAAAGATTGATTGGAAATGACACTGAACACAAATCTTCTGTTCACTGATATTTACCTTGATCCAGTATGACCTTATCTGTTTTCTTCACACATTACGTCTCATGTTTCATCACAGGATCTTCACTGATGCCATTATCCCTTCGGTGTACAAGTATTTGAAAAATTATTTGTGGCAAAATGTGGTTTATTGTTTTTATTGTTTGGTCAGGATGGGAATTAAGGGGGCAGTTGTAATTTTGGGGAAAAAATCTATATAAATAATTTTCACACAATACATATTCAAATGATTTATATTTATTTCACCCTCAGTTTAGATCTGGGGTGTTTAGTCCTGCTGCTGGTGGGCCACCTTCCAGCAGAGTTTAGCTCTAGCCCTAATTAAACATACTTGAATCAGCTAAACGAGGTCTTTAGAATAACTAAAAACTTCCAAGCAGGTGTGTTGGAAGTAAACTCTGCCGGAAAGTGGCACTCCAGGAGCAGGATTGGACACCTCTGATTTAGATTAATGTAGTTTAAAACATGTCAATTAAAAAAAAAGTTTCCTAAGCGTTGTTAGTTTAAGATTGAGGTCTGAGACAAGGATTTGTAAAATAGCACAAATAAACGAAGGCATATATTTTCCAAGACAGGTATAATTTGACTTTTATTTTACAAAAAAAGGGTTGAAAGCTGTTAGTGTGAATATAAATCAACCCTAGGACATAAAAGTGCCTGAAGTTTAAGTTCCTAAAACACTTCTGTATTTTACACAGTTAAAATAGTATAATAGTAAAATAGTAATTCACCTATTTAGGCCTGAGGTGTTTTGGTTTTGGAGAGTAGAGGATTCTCACACAATTTATTGCTCAGATGTTTTATTATTAATTTATTTATAATTCAATTATTAAAGGGATAGTCACGTCAACCCCCAAAATAAATATAAATAAAATAAAAAACTCAAGCACATCATTCCAAACCTGTATGACTGACTTTCTTCTGCTAAACACAAAATGAGATCTTTGAACAATGATGTTCCGCTGATTAAAGCAAGTCTACCAAGCACCAAGTCAAACAAGTACTTCATTATTTAAGATGGTTTTTGGTATAGAAATACAAACTAAATGTGCATATAGCTCAAACTGTTTCTGTTTTGGAACAATCCGATGAGAAACATTTTGTTCAGACCTCTTCTAAAACTTTAGAAGAGACTTGTGTGGGATCAGTGAGGTTTCAGAAGGAAAGACAGAGATGCAGGAAAGTCTCTTTTTTCCATTCTTCATTTATTCTTATTACAGTCGAAAGAAACAAAAGATATTAAAGGGATCTCATTTGTGATTTTTTCCCCCCAGTGGGCTGGGCTGTTTTTTATTATTGAGAAACTGCTTTGGTCTACTATGAAACAACATTGTCTGTAGAAAGTAGTTTAATTCTATTAAGCAAGTAGTCCATTAGCAGGCACTTTTACCCAAAGTGATTTCTTATTTCAGGAACATTCCCCCTGGCGAAACATGTGGTTTATTTACTTTTTCAGTGCACATTCGTTACTACTTACAGCAGGGCTCGACAATAAGGACTGCCCGATGGCCCCTTGGCAGTTCAAACATTTAAGTGATTTTAGTGCAAAAGTTTCGAAATAACTTAACAAATTCAGTACTCGCGTGCTGTTTACAGTCCATACAGCATGCACACAGAGAGCACGCAGACACAGGGTTCCCTTTTTCGCATATTATTTTGCTTAATATACAGGATTTTAGAGAGGTGGGCAAAGAAGAATGTGCGCACCTACCACTTTTGTGGGATTTTAGAGAAGTGGCAAAGCATAGCATGCACACCTACCACCTAGGTGGAATTTTAGACAGGTGGCAAAGCCTAACGTGCCCACCCACCACTTACGTGGATTTTAGAAATTGGCAAAGGATAACGTGCACACTTACCACTCATGTGGATTTTAGAAGGTGCACAATATGAGCACTCTTACCCTAATCTCCGGATTTCCTTAGGGTTCCATGTCACCCGGACGTAATGGCCGGTCGGGAACAGCAGCTCCAGCACCCTCCTCAGAGGTGAGGGGAGTGATGTCTCCAGGGTGTGTCGACCAAGACACACCATTTGAGTGGGACCCAGGGTACCGGGGTGTTACCCCACTCTGAAACAAAGGGAACGAAGACAGCACGCGTAACCCTTACCTTCACAGGATTTTAGAGAAATGGGCAAAGAATCCCGTGCCCATTTACCACCAACGTGGAATTTTAGAAAATGGGCAAAGCAACACGTGCCCATCTACCAGCTATGTGGATTTTAGAAAAATGCGCAAAGCTTCACGTGCACATTTACCACTCACGTGGATTTAGAGAAATGCGCAAAGCCCTGCTTTACGTGGACATCTTACCATATTATCTGGATTTTAAGTTCATGGAAACCCGACCGTATCGGCCAGCTGGAAGCGGCCGGCTCACACATCTCAGTGGTGATGGGAGCTCTGCCTAAGACAGCCTTACACAGGAGGATCCTGGTGATGCCCCCTGTACCTCCCGTCCGTTGCCTCAGCAAGACGGAATACGCCGGTGGCCAGGAAGCCCCTCGGGGCGACCAGGCACTGTAGCCCAATCCGGGTGCATCGCAGCGTGGCCCCGGGGGCCTGATGTTCACGAAGGCTCCCACAAAAACCCGTGTTTGGCCGCATGCTCCAGGAGGATTGAAGCCGGAGTCCGGCTTTTTATCCCCCCGCCTGGACATATGTCGACGAGTGAA